CCCGGCGCGCCTGCTCCAGGGCGTCCTCGTCGTCGCGGCTCCTGCGGGGACACGGGGACATCAGCGGGTGGACGGGGACACGCGGGGTGGTGGCACCCGGTTTGGTAGCACCCAACGTGGTTGCACCAACGTGGTTGAACCCAACGTGGTTGCACCAACATGGTTCAAACCCAACGTGGTTCTAACCCAACATGGTTCCACCCAACATGGTTCTAACCCAACGTGGTTCCACCCAACGTGCTGGCATCCAACATGGTGGCACCCAACGTGGTTCCAACCCAACGTGGTTCCAAACCAACGTGGTGGCACCCAACGTAGTTCCAACCCAACGTAGTTCCAACCCAACATGGGTCCAACCCAACGTGGGTCCACCCAACATGGTTCAACCCATCGTGGTACTCAACATGGTTCCAACCCAATGTGGTTGTAACTCAACACAGTTGGACCCAACATGGTGGCACCCAACGTGGTTCCAACCCAATGTGGTGGCACCTGTCATGGCACCCAACGTGGTTCCAACCCAACATGGTTCCACCCAATGTTGTTGCAACCTGTTGTGGTACCCAACATGGTTCCAAGCCAACGTGGTTGTAACTCAACATGGTTGGACCCAACATGGTGGCATCCAGTGAGGTGGTACCCAATGTGGCTCCAACACAATGTGGTTCCAACACAATGTGGTTGCACCCAATGCGGTGGCACCCAATGTGGTGGCACCCAACGTGGTTCCAACCCAACGTGGTTCCACCCCAACATGGTGGCATCCAATGTGCTGGCACCCAACGTGGTTCAACCCAACGTGGATCCAAACCAATGCGGTTCAAACCCAACATGGTGGCATCCAACGTGGTGGCACCCAACGTGGTGGCATCTGATGTGGTGGCACCCAACGTAGTTCCAACCCAACATGGGTCCAACCCAATGTGGTTGTAACTCAACACAGTTGGACCCAACATGGTGGCACCCAACGTGGTTCCAACCCAATGTGGTGGCACCTGTCATGGCACCCAACGTGGTTCCAACCCAACATGGTTCTACCCAATGTTGTTGCAACCTGTTGTGGTACCCAACATGGTTCCAAGCCAACGTGGTTGTAACTCAACATGGTTGGACCCAACATGGTGGCATCCAGTGAGGTGGTACCCAATGTGGCTCCAACACAATGTGGTTCCAACACAATGTGGTTGCACCCAATGCGGTGGCACCCAATGTGGTGGCACCCAACGTGGTTCCAACCCAACGTGGTTCCACCCCAACATGGTGGCATCCAATGTGCTGGCACCCAACGTGGTTCAACCCAACGTGGATCCAAACCAATGCGGTTCAAACCCAACATGGTGGCATCCAACGTGGTGGCACCCAACGTGGTGGCATCTGATGTGGTGGCACCCAACGTAGTTCCAACCCAACATGGGTCCAACCCAATGTGGTTGTAACTCAACACAGTTGGACCCAACATGGTGGCACCCAACGTGGTTCCAACCCAATGTGGTGGCACCTGTCATGGCACCCAACGTGGTTCCAACCCAACATGGTTCCAACCCAACATGGTTCTACTCAATGTGGTTGCACCCAATGTGGTTCCAACCCAACATCGTGGCACCCAACGTGGTTCCACCCAACGTGGTGGCATCCAATGTGGTGGCACCCGGAGTGGTTCCAACCCAACTTGGTTCCAACATGGTGGCACCCAACGTGGTGGCACCCAACATAGTTCCAACCCAACGTGGTTCCAACCCAACGTGGTTCCAACCCTACGTGGTTCCAACCCAATGTGGTGGCACCCGTTGTGCCACCCAATGTGGTTCCAACCCAAAGTGGTGGCACCCAACGTGGTTCCAATCCAACGTGGTTGCACCCAATGTGGTTGCAACCTGTCATGGTGCCCAACATGGTTCCAACCCAACGTGGTTGTAACTCAACATGGTTGGACCCAACATGGTGGCATCCAATGAGGTGGCACCCAATGTGGCTGCTCCAACCCGTGGTTCCAACACAACGTGGTTGCACCCAACGTGGTGGCATCCAAGGTGATTCCAATCCAACGTAGTGTAACCCAACATGGTTGCACCCAATATGGTTCCAACCCAGTGTGGTTGCACCCAATGTGGTTGCACCCATCGTGGCACCCAATGTGGTCTCAACCCAACGTGGTTCCAACCCAACGTGGTTCCAACCCAACGTGGTTCCAACCCAACATGACTGGACCCAACGTGGTTGCACCCGACGTGGTTGCCCTCAATGTGGTTGTACCCAACATGGTTCCATCCCAACATGGTTGCGCCCAACCCCGGTTACACCCAATACGGTTGCACAAAACAGCTACTTTCAACATGGCCCCACCCAACGCAGTTGCAGCACCCAATGCAGTTGCACCCAAGATGGGTGCAACCCAACTCGGACACATCCAACGTGGTTGCACTCAGCGTGGTTGCACCCAACGTGGTTGTGCCCAACGTGGTTGCGTCGAGCATGGTGGCACCCAATGTGGTCATACCCAAGGTGGTGGCACCCAAGGTGGTGGCACCCAACTCGACTGCACCTGACGTAGCTGCAGGTGACTTGGCAGCACCCAGTTTAGCTGCACCCACTTTAGCTGCACCCGATTCAGCTCCCATGTGGGCTCCAAGCTGCTTGCAAGAAAAACCTTCCCAATTTGGGTGGCACCCAAAAAATTGTGGAGCACCCCAAAGGTTTGCGGAGCACCCAAAGGCTTGTGGAGCACCCCCAAAATTGTGGAGCACCCCAAAGGTTGGGGTAGCACCTCAAAGAAATTGGTGTAGCTCCTCAAAGGGCTTGGGCAGCACCCAAAGGGCTTGTGTAGCACCCAAAGGGCTATTGTAGCGCCCAAAGGACTTGTGCAGCACCTCAAAGACTCGTGCAGCACCCAAAGGGCTTGGATAGCACCCCAAGGACCCATGTAGCACCCAAAGGAGTTAACACCTCAAAGACTTGTGCACCCAAAGGGGTTGCGTAGCACCCCAAGGACCCATGTAGCACCCCAAGGAGTTAACACCTCAAAGACTTGTGCAGCACCCAAAGGGCTTGGGTAGCACCTCAAAGGACTTTTGCAGCACTTCAAAGGACTTGCACAGCACCCAAGGGGCTATTGTAGCACCCAAAGGACTTCTGTAGCACCCAAAGGGCTTGTGTAGCACCCCAAGGACCCATGTAGCACCCCAAAGAGTTAACACCTCAAAGACTTGTGTAGCACCCAAAGGGCTTGGGCAGCACCCAGAAGACTTGTGCATTACCTCAAAGTCTTGTGTAGCACCCAAAGGGCTACTGTAGCACCCCAAGGACTTGTGTAGCACCCAAAGAACATGTGTAGCACCTCAAAGACTTGTGTAGCACCCAAAGGGCTTGTGTAACATGCAAAGGACTTGTGCACCACCCAATGTCTATTGTAGCACCCAAAGGACTTGTGTAACACCTCAAAGAGTTGTGCAGCACCCAAAGGACTTGGGCAGCACCTCCAAGACTTGTGTAGCACCTAAAGGGCCATTGTAGCACCCAAAGGGCTTGTGTAGCACCCAAAGGACCTGTGTAGCACCCTATGTCTATTGTAGCACCCAAAGGCCTTGTGTAGCATCCAAAGGACCTGTGTAGCACTCAAAGGACTTGTGTAGCACCCAATGTCTATTGTAGCATCCAAAGGGCTTGGGTAGCACCCAAAGGCCTTGTGTAGCACCCAAAGGCCTTGTGTAGCACCCAAAGGACTTATGTAGCACCCAAAGGACTTGTGTAACACCTCAAAAGACTTGGGCAGCACCCAAAGGGCTTGTGTAGTACCCAAAGGACCCACAGAGCACCCAAAGGAGTTAACACCTCAAAGACTTGTGTAGCACTCAAAGAGCTTGGGCAGCACCCGAAAGACTTGTGCATTACCTCAAAGACTTCTGGAGCACCCAATGGACTTGTGTAGCACCCAAAGGGCTATTGTAGCACCCCAAGGACCCATATAGCACCCAAAGAACTTGGGTAGCACCTCAAAGATTTGTGCAGCACCCAAAGGGCTATTGTAGCACCCCAAGGACCCATATAGCACCCAAAGAACTCGGGTAGCACCTCAAAGACTTGTGCAGCACCCAAAGGGCTATTGTAGCACCCAAAGGACTTGGGCCATACCTCAAAGACTTGTGTAGCACCCAAAGGGCTTGTGTAACATGCAAAGGACTTGTGCACCACCCAATGTCTATTGTAGCACCCAAAGGACTTGTGTAACACCTCAAAGAGTTGTGCAGCACCCAAAGGACTTGGGCAGCACCTCCAAGACTTGTGTAGCACCTAAAGGGCCATTGTAGCACCCAAAGGGCTTGTGTAGCACCCAAAGGACCTGTGTAGCACCCTATGTCTATTGTAGCACCCAAAGGCCTTGTGTAGCATCCAAAGGACCTGTGTAGCACTCAAAGGACTTGTGTAGCACCCAATGTCTATTGTAGCATCCAACAGGCTTTGTGTAGCACCTCAAAGACTTGTGCAGCACCCAAAGTTCTATTTTAGCACCAAAAGGATTCGTGCAGCACCTCAAAGACTTGTGCAGCACCCAAAGGGCTATTGTAGCACCCAAAGGACTTGGGCCATACCTCAAAGACTTGTGTAGCACCCAAAGGGCTTGTGTAACATGCAAAGGACTTGTGCACCACCCAATGTCTAAGCACTCAAAGGACTTGTGCACCACCCAATGTCTATTGTAGCACCCAAAGGCCTTGTGTAACACCTCAAAGAGTTGTGCAGCACCCAAAGGACTTGGGCAGCACCTCCAAGACTTGTGTAGCACCTAAAGGGCCATTGTAGCACCCAAAGGGCTTGTGTAGCACCCAAAGGACCTGTGTAGCACCCTATGTCTATTGTAGCACCCAAAGGCCTTGTGTAGCATCCAAAGGACCTGTGTAGCACTCAAAGGACTTGTGTAGCACCCAATGTCTATTGTAGCATCCAAAGGGCTTGGGTAGCACCCAAAGGCCTTGTGTAGCACCCAAAGGCCTTGTGTAGCACCCAAAGGACTTGTGTAGCACCCAAAGGACTTGTGTAGCACCTGAAAGACTCACGTAGCACCCAAAGGCCTTGGGCAGCACCCAAAGGACCCGTGTAGCCCCCAAGAGCCGGGGTCCGCCCTCACCTCATGCGCTCCTGCTCCCGCCGCAGCCGCTCCTTCTCCCGCTCCACCTGCTCCGCCTGGGCCTTGAGCGCCTTCTCGCGCTCCTCCTTCTCCCGCGCCGCCCGCTTGAACTGCTCGAAGCTGTCGCTGGAGGACTTGGCCGTGGAGGACGGCGTGGTGGGGTGCTTCTGCACCAGGCTGGCCCACGAGCCCATGTTTTTGATCTTCAGGTCCTGAGGAGCAGAAGGTGGAGACGTGAGGGACGGGGAGGTGACGCCGGAGCAGGGCAGAAGGACACCAGGGGCTGTGGCAAGGGCTGGAGATGTCTCTGGGCCTGGGGATGGCTACAAAGGGGGCTGAAGGGGTGTCCAGGGCTGGAGATGGTGGCAAAAGGGGCTTGAGTTGTCACCAGGACACCGGATGGGTGCAGAAGAGGCTGGAGATGCCTCCAAGCCTAGGGACAAGCGTGGAATGTTCTGGAGAGGCCTCCACTCCTAGGAACAAGACTGGAAGATCCTGGAAAGGCCTCCAGTCCAAGGAGGAAGTGTGGAAGGTCCTGGAGATGCCTTCAGCCCTAGGAAGGAGAGGGGAAGGTCCTGGAAATGCTTCCAAGCCCTAGGAACAAGACTGGAAGGTCCTGAAGATGCCTCCAGCCCTAGGAGCAAGCGTGGACGGTCCTGGAGATGCCTTCAGCCCTAGGAAGGGACACGGAAGCTGCTGGAGATGCCTCCAGCCCTAGGAACAAGACTAGAAGGTCCTGGAGATGCCTCCAGCCCTAGAAGGAAGTGTGGAAGATCCTGGAGATGCCTTCAGCCCTAAGAAGGGACAGGGAAGGTCCTGGAGATGCCTCTAGCCCTAGAAGCAAGTGTGGAAGGTCCTGGAGATGCCTCCAGCCCTAGGAAGGGACGCGGAAGCTGCTGGAGATGCCCCCAGCCTCCGGAGTGGGGTCTCGGCCTCACCTTTTTGGGGGCGACGGGCGTTTTGGGCTCCTGCTTCTGCCTCTCCTTGCCTG